ACAATCGTCTAACTTTAAACAATTGTAAATTAGCCGCAGACATCGTAATTTTGTTTTAATTAATCTGCCCCAATCTGATGCACTGCATCTGCAAAAAGAGGGTTGGGATATACATAAACGTACATATACAGCAAGCCAAGCGTTAGAGCGTGAAGTAGTCGACCCAGAAGACGAGCTGGAGATGGGAAACCCATGAAACTGTGGGCTGGGTCCACGTATTTCTTAGCTTTTCATCTTTTTTCTGCTTGCCGTTTTCTGTTTGTTGTGGCAAAATATCTAGGCCGTAAAAAATGGTTAAACGCCAGAGCAATTACCAGGCCAAACAACTTGGGGAGAACGTGGTTAAGTACGAAGTGCGATGCCCATGGCCAACTACAGTGAAGTCCCAGCTGGGAGGTCTAATCAAATGTACGAGCATATTTACAGCCAGGAACTCTTTTGGCCACTCACATTTCATGGCTTACATTTTTCTGTCATTTTTTGTATACTCTTCTGCAGCTGAAGAATCCAAAAGACAATGAAAGCTGCCCACTTAAGCGAATTTCGTTTTCTGACTTTTCCGCTTATCTGTGCAGTTTGCGCCCCGGTTATATCTGCATTATATGTCTTATATAGCTCTCAGATTCATCGCATATACACAATTTGTATGTTATGTATACGCAAACAGGGCACATTTGTATGAGAATGTTCAAGTTTAATCTGAGTTGACGGCTGACGATTTTCCTCGTTCCGATTGCAACAAGCTTTAAAAGAATAAATCTTCCACTAAGATGATGGAGAAATCGGTACCTCTTAAATTACAGAGAAAAAAATATGTGATTGTATTACAAAACCTTTATTAAGAATAGAAATGCTAGTAAAATTCCTATTTCCCATATTAAACAACAATTGTATAAATTAATGATTGGCTTCTCAGAATTCTCAAGTTTAAGACTATATGGAATGTATATTTCACATTTGCTTATTTATTAAGACTAAACATATTGCACACTTTTTAAACTCTTTGCTTAAAGAGTCAATATATGGTTAAGCTATCTTCTAAAACTAATATGTATATTAATTAGGTCAAATATTTAGGTAAGTGATACTGCTTAATTAAAAAATGTTATGTTATCTGGACCAGCGTCACTTGGTTGGTTTTAATTTTTTTGTACAGGGTAGAGCAATCTGAAAAGTAGAGACTTAAGAATATCTGCGGCACTTTCCAGTTTTCAGCACTGTCAGCTATCCCTTGTTGTCTGGCGTGCTAATTCCCTCCATTAACTATTACTTAATTGCCGCTTGGCACGACGTTTAATCTTCCTCCCGCGTATCCCCACCTTGCCTTCCAAGATACAATTATTTTATCTGTCTAGCTTGGCATTTGTGAGTCACAAACAAAATAATTTCGCCGATATTCAATCGAATCAGATCAAATCATTTCCTGAATTTGCGCAGAACAATGAAGAGGCAAAACAGACACAAATCCAAATGATATAAACAAAAGCAAATGGTCGAATCAACAAGCGGTCAAGTGAAAGATATTAATTAGTCTGCGTGGCAAAGAGTAATCCAAGGGGTATTTTCTAATGAGAAAATCCAAACACGTTCCACACATCCGATTCCGATTGCCGGTCTCCACATTTGTGGATTATGAATTATGCAGGTGGCGTATAAAAAATATATTTAATGCATTGGGAAAAAAATTTGGAAACAATTATTAAACATTTTAGTTGTTCCTAATTAAAAGTACCTTTGTTCCAATTAAATGTGTATCGATCTGAAACTTTTTAATTCTGGTAAAGTAAAAAATATTAAAAAAAAACTTTTTATATCTTGAAATTGTTAAAAAAATTAACATTTGATAGACTGAAAATCGTTCTTTATTAACGGTACCAAAAACAAAAGACACATTTTACCCAAGTTCGATCGCTATTTCTCTCTGTGTGGCATTGATTTATTGAAAAATGGCCATGCAATTGCTGGGTTGTTAGTCTTCCTCGGAGTTTTAGTTATAGAGTCATTAGACAAAAGAACTGTGTCACGAGCCATTTCCTTGGCCAAGTGGAAGGAAGCTAGCGGTAACGCAGAATAAAAACCCGGGGAGAGAAAAAAACATGTCTCAAGATTCCTAGCTCTTCATGTTGGTCCCGCATCTCCATAACTCAAATACAGATTCAGATTCCGATGCAAACTGAATTAAAATGGATTGGATTGGATGGCATGAGTGGAGAGTGGGAGGAAATGGATGTGGAAGTGGAAGTGGACAAGCCTTGCCAACAACAATGCGGAAATGTTAATTGGATTTGTTGTGGCATCCATGTGGGTGGCTCGCTGTAGACACATCTCTGTCAGAGTTCAGGGGTCAATGCATCGATAACGAACCTCTTCTCCCCGCGCTCTTTGTTTTTTTTCGAAGGCTAAAGCTGCCTGATATGACACCGAGTTAGTCACAAAAACAAAAACTTGACGCGGCCAGTTGATGATTCAGATTTTGAGGTATTTTTCGCTGTAGTTTCATTTCGATGCATCCGCCCAAAATACCTGGAACTTTTTTGTAAGCCTTTGCCTACCGAACTTTTAGTCATCGTAAAAATGCAAAAACAAAAACAACAGAAACTCAATGTATACAAGGAAAGAAGTGATATCTCTCTATTTCACCTTAGATACAGTACAACTTCAAGAACTCTGTCATCAAAGATGTTTTTTATTATTTTTTGTAATCTGCATTAATATTAAAAAATTTAGAATTACTTCAGAGTTTACTATTAAGTGAGCGCACAGTAATTTTAGAACTACATTTTTCAAATACAATACATATGTTTATATTTTTGCCTGTGAAATTTGTATATAAATATTTCGGCAAATACACAAAGATTCAAATTAAATTGTCGAAATTAAATATTTGATTTACTTTTAGTTACTTCAAATTTTGGACAGCTATTCGAGAAGTCAGAAGATATACAAATTTCCAACCTAGGAAAGTTCGACTGTTATACGTTTAAAAGCTGATAAAATGGAAATGGGCCAAGCAAATAAAAAACAACTGCAAAGGGGAGCAAATTGTCTGTTTGTTATTAACCAAAGCGAATCGTAAACCGAGGACATGTGTGTTTTGATTTTGTTTTCCGTTTTTTCGGGGTATACTTAAGTTTTTTATCTTATCTAGGAGCAGCTGGAAAACTGGGCTAACGGTGCTCAAATAACTGTGTCGTCACACCCTCTTTCTTTCTCTCTTCCCCTTCGTTACACCTTTCCCGTTCTAATGCAACAATTACGAAATCCGCGTTGCACGCGGCCATGTGTTTTGGAAACGGTTTGGCCCAAGGGGAAGACCGAAAGGAGGAGAGAATAGGAGAATGAAGAGTAGGCCAAAAACATGGGTGAAGTAGGTAGAGAACGGCATGCAAATTTCAGGCCGCAATGAAACTTCCGTAAATCGTATTATTTTGTTGAATTTTTAGTTACGGAAATCTCATATGTATGTACATTGTTATAAACAAAAACGGGAGAAATATGTACATATGTGAGCTCTAAAATAATTATTTATTTTAGACATATTTCTCTGTTCTATGTTTAAATGCTAAAAGTACTAAGAATTTATTAGCCATTACAGCTTTAACAATTGATTTTCTATTACAAATTGTTATATTTTTAAATTGCATAATATTGCTTATTGTTTAATTAAACTTAAGACAAAGAACTCTGCTTATATTTGCTATGACTTTAAATCAGCTGAGTTTAATAGACGTCAAAAAGATACAAAAGACGCCTTGAAATTGTGCAACTAAAAAATTGGGGTTTTATTTGAATTTGATTCGTTCACTTTTTGGGTTTTCAAGTTAACCCGTAACGCTGATTTTGTGCCTATTTGCGAACGGGTTTTTGTTTCGGGCCCTATGACTGTTGTATTTGTTTGTGTTTTGCGGGTCGGGTCTTTGGCCCGCTTCATTTGGCAAGCAAGCGTTAAAGCCAAAAAATGAGTCATGGCAAAGTTGTCTGCCATTTCAGGGCTAAAGGAGTTTTGCAGTCTTGGTTTGTTGTTGGCTGCTGGTGCATTGACATTTAAATGTTTGCAGCAGGAGAGGGCTAAGAGGAAGCAGCGACTGGAGAGTTGTGGCATAAATTAAAGTTCAAACAAACACTAAGAAGAAGCAGAGGAGGAAAATCGAGGCTGCCCCACCCGCACAATCTGCGCATCTCTCTCTCTCTTTCTGGGCGCTCTCTCTCCACCTCGCCTTTCTCTTCCTCTTCGCCTATTTGGCAGGTTTTTGTTTGTTTTGCGGCGAAAGAAGCGCAAGAAGAAGCAGCGCAGTTGCAGCCAAAACAAGAAGAATAACAACAACAAATACAGGAGAGGGCGAGAGAGGAGCTAAAGAAGTAATTAAAGCAAAGTCGAAAAAGAACAGCTGCCCCTCTTGATAGTGATTCTTCTTCTTTCAGCCCCCCCACAAACACAAGGCATAAAATCAGGGGCGGTTCCAGAGGGGGTCATTTTGATCTTTAAAGTTTTTGTCATACAATTTATATTAAAAAACAAAAACGTAATTAGTTCCATGGTTTAAATAGTTCCTCACAAAATCAAAAAAAAAAAATACCCCAAAAAACTTTACTCCCTATCCGCCCATGCATCAAATGAAAACAGGTTTTAGGTGCAGGAAAAAAGAAGAAGCAACCGGAATAGTGACAGCTGTTTTTAAAGGGATCACTTAATTTGCGCAAATTTTAACGAACTTAATAGTTGGCAAAACTATCAAAAAACTGCCTTCGCACACACACACACGCAAAGGCAAAAGGAGAGGTGCGCAAAAAAGGGCGTGTTTGTATATGAAGAAGAAGCAGCGGCAGAAAAAGGGAGCAGGAGGAAATTGGCAAACAAAAAAAGGGGGTTTTATGAAGAAAGAGCAAACCAAATAAAAATAATACTGTAACAAATAGAATCGAAAATCAACTATGAAATGCATTTCCTGGATTAAAAATAAATTATTGCAGAAAAACAGTCGAAAAAAACAAAAACTTACCACAACATTTTGGTTGATTCCGTTACCACAGCGAAAATGCGTTGGTATTAGTGTGCGGCGTCTGCTTTGCTTCTTCTTCTTCAGCTTCCAACAGAGAGAGAAAGAGAGCGAATTGCAATTTCCACCTCTCTGGCGGTTTAAAAAATAATTGTGATTTAGATTTTTAATTAAAATGCTTGACTTTTTGTGTTTTTAATTGCAGCACGCACACACCACTCACACGGAAACAAACACAGTTAGAGAGCGTGTAGGCAAAAGAGAGAGAGCGGGCAGGGGAGAGAGAGGAAGAGGCGAAAAACTCCTTTTCAAGGAGTAGACACCAATTTTTCTGGGCTCTCTCTCGACGCGAAATAGAGTTTTTGCTTCAGCAACTGCCTATAATTTGTTAATAATAGTACACACAAACATACACAAACGTTTCCCGAGCAGAGGATGTTCTTTTCTCTCAACTCCTTTTTTCCTAAAACTCCGCGAACTTGTCTTGTGTTTTCGTGCTCTATTATTTATAAAAACTATTTATTTATTCACTCACAGCTAAGCGCTGGCGATTGGCGGTGACATTTTCCGCGACAGCACCAAACAAATCAAAGAAAGGCGGCGTTTTTCCCCGGAAAAAACAGTCCGTGTCCGCTTTGCGTTCCGTTTCGTTGATCCGTTTTTCGCGACGATAGAGTATTTACTCAAAATCTCTACAGTGTGACCGCGCGGGTAGCGATAAAAAATACCATACTGTCAAAAAATAAATACCGCTTTACACAAATTCAAGAAATACCAGTTATATACCGCGTTCAGCATAAGATCTCAGCTAATGATCTCAGAACAGTGAATGATCACTTATCACTAATCAATCACCATAATCACGAGCTTAAAAATTACAGCGCACCTCAAAGAATCCTTGCAAAAATGGACCAGTAAACTTTGCCAAACCAAAATTTGTTACCCTTCCAGCTATTGCAAAAGATTAATGTTCTTTAAAACAACTAAATTTCGATTTTTTATATTTCTTAATTTTAACCGTAATTCCAAATTATTTAACCATTACTATAAGCAAATGAATTAAAAAAAGAATTGGAAAAGAAACATGTAATACAATTTTGTCATTTTTTTTGTTTATTCGAATTGAAACCGCATTCCTGTAAAAAAACAGCAAAGTTGTAATTTTTGTTAAGTTAAATGATAATGTCGATAAAGTCATATGTATATGTACAATAGGTGTATATTTGCAGAAGAAATTTGATCAAAATCCTACTCCGTTTTAAAGAACTCTTAAAGTGCGGTTGGCCAAAAACGTCGAATATGCATTCTAGTCCCATAATCTTAACAGTTTAGTTTTTATAATTGTTTATTATTTTCCTTTTGTTCGAGAATAAAAAAAATGTATATTTCAAATTTATTTTATGAATGACCAACTATCGGGTTAAAGATTTTTTGACCAAGGATTTTTTTTGTGGGTATATCTAAACCCTTGGTAAAAAATAATTCTTCTCGTAGCTCAATAGCTCCATAGCTCCACTTGTGTGTTTAATTTCATATTGGGTAAATAAAAATATAAAAGTCACCCTTTTTAAAAGTAAAACATCGTTCTTTCGTGTTCCTTAGACTTCTTTAATTTGTTTGCACAGGGCGGAAATTTTGGAACGTGTTAGAGTGATGGCGGTAAAAAACTAAATTAGAATATTCGTCTAATACATAAATTAATACGGGCTAGAGGAGAAGCCCAATGATAGCGTCTAGTAGACGGCATTCCGGTAGTTTTCCACAAACTTTTGGATCAGCCCCGGCAACTCCGGCGCTCGGCAGAGGTATTTGTGTCCATACTTTAGGCTTGCTCCGAATCGATGGAACTCCACGGGTCCCCAGGAGCGACTTCTTCTATCCAAGGCGATCCTGTACAGCCGATAGCCCAGCAGAAACGGCACCACAACATCGTCCTCCGCATGGATGATCATGATGGGTTGATGGAACTCTTGGATGTGAATATCCGACTCGAATCTCAGCCTGTTGGTGTACATCGGCCTTGAGATGGTGAAATCGAACCAAGGCAGGTGCCTAAAGAGCTTGGCAAACGGATGCAGACGTATCTCATCCCTGATGTTTGTGAATGGGCTTTCGAGGATAACTCCCCGAGGAGCCCTCTCCCTTAAACTGGCTAGCTTAGCACACAGATGCGTGGCCACTCCGGTGCCCAGGGAATGACCCCATACCACTACCGGATTCGAGGTGGTGTTGGCTATATATTCAAACACCATCATGGCATCGCGCACAATGCCTTCCTCCGTGGGTGGCACCGGATCGGAGTCCCCATAGCCTCTGTAATCGAAGGAAAACACGTGGTAGTTGAGCTTCCTCAGCAGTTTGTACACCTCTGATCGGTGGCCACTGCCTCGACTGGCTGTGTTCCCGTGCAGATACAGCACCACTGTGCCACCTGGCATCCGCAGCAATCGCTCGTAGAAGAGCTGCTCGTTTTCGGGCACCACGGCGGGAAATTCTGAGCGAATGGCCGGCGCCAACTCTTTCAGCTCCTGTTCGTTGCCAAGCGCGGTTTCCAGGTGCTGATCCAGGTCGTGATCTACTTCCTCCTCAACTCGTAGTTCGCGCTTAAAGCGACGCACTGCATTGCTGGGGAGGACATGCCATACACCAACCCGCACACCATCCTCGTCCTGATCGTGATCCTTGACGGTGATGTAGAAGTTTCGAGTTGCGTACAGTCCTACGCTCTCCGGCTTGGTGAGATCAAGTCCTTTGGGGTACTTAACTAAAATGGTGGGAGATGCACTTGATTAACTTTAAAATAAGCATGCGATATACGGAAACTGACTTAACATTGTATTATATGCAGTGTTTGGGTGTACCTAGATACTTGTGTCTAGGTAATGTTTTTGATTTATTGGGAAATAAATCTTATGGGAAATTTTACTTAATGACTTGGTTTAACATCTAAAAATAGTTGTTTTCTAATTTTACAAGTTTTAAATTACTGTCTAAAAGTATACAAAAATGTATAATTAAGCTAAGTTAGAAACCTTGTATCTTTTTATCGGTTTTTAATGCCGTTCTGACTAATACACGGTTTTTACATACGTTTGTGATGCTTAAGAACTCGCGTCTTGATTTGATATTTAGGTTAATTAAATCAAAAAATTTGTGTCTACGAAACTGCAAAATCTAGCAGTCAATCAACTATTTTCGAATGTTACTAAGTCATTTAACTTTCTAGTGTACTTACTGAATGTGAGGAACAGGATTCCGCGTTGGAGCGTCACCGAGTATCGAAATATTAGCGGCAGGACCACAAAGATAACGAAAAAGATCAGTAGACACGCTTGCAGAGATCGCAATCCAACCCTACGAAAAATATCAATGGGTGAAATGTGAAATGTGAAAGGAGTTTGTCGAGGGGGTGGTAATAACTATACCTTAAAGTGAGTGAGAATACAACATGGAAAACGAGTGAGCTATGGCAAGAGTGGACGTGATGGATTGGGGACAAATGAAAATATATACATTCGAATAGTAGGCAAAGCGGTTATATACGAAAAAGCGGGAACGGAACAGAGCCGGCGATATTCGCGAAAGTAATGTCGATGTCACGATGTTTAGATTAAAAATCAGAAGAATGGGTTTTAAGTTATATCTACATAAGTAGTTAAACAAGCGCACAACATCGAATCGAGCGTGGATACTTACAGACCAGTTAGCCAACTAAGTAGGATCGTTCCGGGAATGAGTGTGGCAAAGAAAACGGATCTTAGGCAATTATGAAGCTCGTACATTGCGATTGTTTAACGTCCGTTCGGTTTACTGCTTAATGTGTATATAGTTAGCGATATTTCGTTCTACTGGGAAAGCGATTTAACACTGATTGTTACTGATTTTGTGCGTTTTTTTGTGCGGAGCTTTTCCGGGCGAAAAGAGAGATAAACAAATTACTTGGTTAATTCAGATAGTTTTGTTTATTTTTTTTTAAGTTTGCTGGGGAAACATCAGACTGGACGCATGCAAAACCGAACCGGACCCGAGAAATTTTCCTCCAGAGAGCGACCTTTGCACCAGAGGGGTTAAACGCTGACAAAGTGGCGATTTGGGTGAGTGGTTAGGTGATCGGGTGACTACGAATGTATTAGCACTAGGGTGGTTCCTCTTAAATAGACGCAAAAGTAATCTCGGTATATATGGATAATATTAAAAGCAAATCTTTTTAACAATTAAATTAAAATTGTTTGATCTTAATGGATTGGTAAATGGGAAGAGTTTCTTTAAAAAAATTATACTAGGTTAAAGTAAATTTCTTAATCATGTTTTTAACATTTTTTAAAATAAATTTTTACTTTAAAATCTATTGAGCTTTTATGATTTTTTATACAAACGATTTTTAATAAAAACAAATTCGATTGAGTAAGCAGAGATAAGGCACACCAAAATGTTAGTTTTGTTATCACTAAACTTGGATTTTTATTGCGAAAAACATTGTTCACGGCCTATAATCTATTCCGTCGTACCGATTTTAATAATTTTAAAGGTTTCCAAAGATCACTTTCGCTTGTCCTTGAATCACTTTCAATTAAATCGGGCCACCTTACTGGACATTGAGCACTACGGTAATGATAATGGCGGTATAATGATTTCAGATATGAGCGCGCTACTCGAGCGTGACTAATACTTGGCCACCCATAATTTTTCTGGGGGAGTTCAGAAGCGAAAACTACGGAAGCGGATTCATCGGGTTGTCGCTTAATCGGGATCGGGGAAACAAACATATATGTATAAGGAATAACAACACACAAACACACACCTTTTAAGTTGTCGCCGGCGCGTGAAGAGCATAACTGCAAAGAGTGAACAAAAGATAGAGAGTATCAATGAATCGGTCATGAAAGGGTGTCAAATCAAAAGAACCGCCAATTAGCGCAAGAGTGATCGGTTATCGCCCATTGTCTATCGAGCGATACCGCTTCCGGTCTACAAATTTTAATCACAATTTCATTTTTTTCAACTTTAAATGCTGGATAAACGCGTTGAGCTTTGGTCAACGTTTTTTCACAAACTGATGGCTTGCAAAGTTGGCGATTATTGTACAGCAACAAATGCAATAATGCACTTGTGGTCAATTAACGAATAAATTGGCAAATTACTCTTACTTGAAAAGAGAGCTTCTGGTCGTCAGGTGAATTAAAGCTTAGAAACAAGATCGAAAGTCTCTCTACACCAATAGCATGATGACCTATAAATATATATATTATAGAAAACAGTATTAAAAATCAGTTAAGTGGGTGGGCGTGGCAGGGGGAGGTAGCTGTTATTACAGAGCGATTCCTAGAAAAATGTGTATAGGAGGAAGGTAAATTAATTAAGTGAAAAACTACTTTGGGCCACCCCCTTAACCCGAAATGGCCTAATCTCATTAACCCATTAATGTTCACCCACAAACCCCATCTTTTAACTGGTCTATCCATGTTTTTATGTAATTCGTTTTGGTTTGCTTTGAAAGAAAAACACAATTTTCAAACCCAGCTTACCACTCACGCGCCAGCAACTTTCCCACGTTTTGGAACGGAAAAAGCTTTGGAAATCGTTTATTTAGCTCTTTTAACGAGCAATTAAAGGAAATTTAATATTTTCTGCCGAACAGCTGTCAATGTTGTTATTGACTATCGATGGCTGCTAGAGATGGGCAA